ATCCAAGGCATTTGGTACACTTGCCTTTTAGGTCAGTGAATTGAGTATAGGAGTTGGGAGTTTTGTGGCTGTACAGTACATCGGTTAGACCACTTTTGGAATACTGCATTCAGTTCTGGTCTCCCAACTATGAGGAAGATGTTGTTAAACCTGAAAGGGATCAGAAGATTTACAAGGATGTCGCTAGTATGGAAGGTTTGAGCTGTAGGGAGAGGCTGAATAGGCTGGGCCTTTGTTCCCTGGAGGGTTGGAGGCAGGGTGAATAGCCAAGATCTTTTTCCCAGGGTAGGGGAGTTCAAAACTAGAGGACATAGGTTTAAGGTGAAAGGGGAAAGATTTAAAAGCGTCCTGAGGGGCAACTTTTTCACGCAGGGTGTGGTGTATGTATGGAATGAGCTGCCAGATGAAGTGGTGGAGGTTAGTATAATTACAGCATTTAAAAAGTATCTGGATGAGTACGTGATTAGGAAGGATTTAGAGGGATTTGGGCCAAATGCTGGCAAATGGGACTAGGTGAGTTAGGATATCTGGTCATCGTGGATGAGTTGGTCCAAAGGGCCTGTTTCCAAGCTGTATAACTGCCTCTATGACTCTAATCTTCACCATGTTGTATGCTGTTTTTTTTTCCCTCTTTTAATGCTGCTTTGACCTCCGTTGTCAGCCATGGTTGCCTCATCCTTCCCTTTAGAATGATTTATGAATTTATTTGTCTCCTTCCAATTATCAAACTTCATGTATTTAAGAATTAATTCTTGGGATAAATTTCTTTTTGCCTCTGAAATCATCCCTAGCAACATCTGTTGCTGCTTTACCATCTTGCCTGCCAGGCTTACCTTTATTACCCGTCCACTCCACAAGTCCTTACCTTCTCAAATACTTATTGGAAAGCCAGTAAAAGCAAGATATTTATTTTGGCAATTGGAAACGTATAGAATTACCAGAACAAATATCATTTTTTCCTTTTTTTAAGGAAAGCTTACCCAGTCTTAGCAGAGTCAGATGGCAGTTAAAAGATAACCATATTAAATGGCTTAGCAAGTCATTTCATTTGAGGGCGATTAGAGATTGGCAACAAATGGTGATTTTTGGCTGAAATCCCCAATTCCAATCATCCCAATGAAAAAAAAAGTGGAACTATACTTTACTGTGGAGAAACTTTCAAATCTTAAAGGCATTTGCTTTAGCTGCAAGAGCACTGGAAGTAAAAGAATCCATGTTTTTAAAATGTCCAGGAGCCTAGGCAATTCAGATATGTGAATTATGATTGAGAGCGTTTCAAGTTCATGACGTATGGAATGTTGTATATCATTAGAGTGTCTAAATACATATACACTTTGTTTCTTATCAGGAAACTAACTTTACGACTTTTGCTTGTGCTGCAGGGTTACACGTCTTTTTGGAATGACTGCATCTCATCTGGTTTGCGTGGATGCATGCTGATTGAATTAGCACTTCGAGGACGTTTGCAATTGGAATCTTTTGGGATGAGACGCAAAAGTTTACTAACAAGAAAGGTAAGTGCAGTTTTGACATTGTAATTTTGTTGAGTTTGTTTTGCAAGTAAAATAATTTTGGAAGCACGTGTTACCAGCATGTATTAAAACAGTGTCTATGCATCGTTTGAATAAGTTGTTTCTACATGCAATGCAGTGTTTTATTTTCTAGCTACTGTGTACATCCTGAGTCTGTGTGCCTTCTTTAAGTAAAAGAACATGTATTTATAATTTATTGTATTTACAATTTATTTGTGCACTTCTAATGGACCCATTGCAATTTCTGTATACCTAGGATGTACACAAAGTCCCTTTTTTTTTGGAGGCATAACATCTATCTGCTTGTGTAGGTCTGTCCTTCAGATGAAGTCATTTGTGTTCCAGAGGTGCAGTGGCATCATGCAAAGAAAAATACTGTTCTTTTTGTGTTAGTCAATGTTCATTCTTTAGCGGAACTGCCAGAAAAAAAACTAGTTTTCCACCTAGAGACTGTGGAATGACTTTAGTTTGCCAAGATAATACATTAGTTTATTCCCAACTGTTGTTTTTTTATTGCTGAAACATCTTGAGATAGTTTTATTAAAACTGTAACACATCTGTGCTGGTGAGACTGCATTTTTGTCCCCTTGGCTAAGGAAAAGACATAATTTCATTGGAGGCAGTTCATTGAAGGTTTACTAGGATGAATCTGGTATGGAGCGATTATCTTATGAGCAAAGGCTAAACAGGTTGGGACTCTACTCCAATATAGAAGAATGAGAGGTAATCTCATTGAAACATGTACAATTCTCAAGGGGCTCGATGTCAAATGCGGAGAGGATATTGACCCTCATGGAAGAGTCTAGGACCAGACCTAGTCCCATAATAAAGGGGTGCCCATTTGAGATTGACATGAGGAATTTCCTCTTTGAGGGTTGAGTCTTTGGAACATTTTGCCACAGAGAACTGTGGGGAGCAATCCTTTTGTGTATATATAAGATAGTTGAAATAATAAATTCTTCATCAATAGACGATATGACTTGAATAGTCATATTGGACTCAAAACATTAACTACTTTTATTTCGAGAGATGTTGCTAGACCTGTTGAGATTCTCCAGTAGTTTGTTATTAATCTTGTAAACTTCCTCTGCACTGATTCTGCTTTATTTATGTCCCTCCACAAATAAGGAGATCAAAACTGCACAGTGTTCAAATGTGATGTGGCCTATAGAACTTAAACATAACAGTCTTTCCTTTTTGTGTTCAGCTACACTTCTAATAAAAGATAGCATCCCATTTGCTGCCTTGATTACATACCTGTACCTGTATAATAACCTTTAGTGACTCATGCATCAGAACACCCCTTAGCACTTTGGATTTCTGCAGAGGTTCTCCATTTTAGTCATACTCTGCTTTTTCACTCGTTCTACCAAAATGAATGACTTTGCGTTTTTCTGCATTATATGCCATCTGCCAGATTTTTGCTCAATTATTCAACCCATCTATATCTGGCCACAATCTTTTTACGTCATCACAACATACTTTAATAACTGTCTTGGTGTCTTCTGCTTAGTTAAAGATCTTGCCTTCCCTCCTTTCATCGGAATCATTAATATAAATTATTAAAAAGTTGTTGCCCTGATACAGACCCCTGCCAGACTCCACGTGTAATATCCTATCAATCAACCAAAGAATCATCTATGTGTAGTTCTTTTCTGCCAGCCAGCAGTCTTCTATCCATGCTAGTATATTGTGGAAGTATATGTTAAGTTAATGCCCCTTTCAACTTTTGATTTACAGCTTTTACTAGAATGATTTTTGTACAGAATGGAGACAGAAGCAAAGCATATGTTCATTCATCTTCCATTCTCTTAGCTCCATTATTAACTTCCCATTCTGACTCTTGTAGGGGACCAACGCTTGCTTTGCTTTCAGTTTTCATTTCTACATAGATGGCAAAACTCTTGCTTCCTGTTTTTCCATTCCTAGCTAGATTCTTCTCAACCGCGCTTTCTTACTCTTGATTGAATTTTGTAATTCTCTGCCATTCTTTATATTCCGGCTTGTGTGGGTAACCATGGACTGTGTGTCCTCCTTTTTAGAGGTTTCTTCGTAGGAATCTCTGTTTTCTGAGGATTCTGAAATATCCTCTTAAATGTTTGCCATAGTCTCCGTTGAACTATGCCCTTGTCTAGTATGCCAGTTCACTTCAGTTAGGTCTGTTTCCATACTAATATAGTTGCCCTTATTTAGCATTTAAATTAAATAAATTTTACCTCGCTACTTACTGCCCTATCAGTCTACTTTCAATCATCAGTAAAGTGATGGAAGTTATCAGGCCACATCTGCTAAGCAATAACCTGATCAATGATGCCCAGTTTGGGTTCTGCCAGGGCCACTCAGCTCCTGACCTCATTTTAAACATGGAGAAAAGAGGTGAATTTCAGAGGTGAGGTAAGAGTGACAACCCTTGACAAAAAGGCCACATTTGACTGAATGTGGCATTAAGGAGCCCCAGCAAAACTGGGAATAATGGATACCGGGGACAAACTCTCCGCTGATTGGAGTTATCTGTCACATTGAAAGATAGCTATTGTTGGAGGTCAGTCATTTCAGCTGCAGGAGTTCCTCAGGGTAGTGTCCAACCACCTTTGGCTGCCTCATTGATGACCATCCCTCCATCATCAGGTCAGAAGTGGGGATGTTTGTTGATGACTGCACAATGTTCAGCACCATTTGCACCTCCTCGGATACTGAAGCAGTCCATCGTCAAATGCAACAAGATGTGGACAATACCTAGGCTTGGGCTGACAAATGGCAAGTAATCTCAATGCCACACAAATGCCAGGCAATGCCCATCTCCAATAAGAGAAAATCTAATCACTGCTCCTTGACATTCAGTGACATTACCATCAGTGGCTACAGGAGCAGGTCGGAGGCTAGGAATGCTGCAACAAGTAACTCCTCACCTGACTCCCCAAAACCTGCACACCATCTGCAAGACACAAATCAGAGTATGATGGAATACTCCCCACTTGCCTGGATGAGTGCAGCTCCAGCAATACCCAAAGTTTGACACCGTCCAGGATATAGCAGCTTGCTTGATTGTCATTGCATCCACATCCTCCTTCAGTGATGCTTAGTAGCTGTAGTCTGTACCATCTACAAGATGCACGCAGAGATTCACCAAAGATCCTTGGACGGCACCTTTCAAACCCATGACCATTCCATCTAGAAGGAAAAGGGCAGCAAATACATTAGAACGCCACCACATGCAAGTTCCAAATCACTCCTCATCCTGTTTTGGAAACATTATCACTGTTCCTACACTGGTAGGTCAAAATCCTGAAATTTCTTCCCCAGGGGCATTGTACGTCAATCTACAGCACACGAACTGAAATGGTTCAAAAAGGCAACTAACCACCACCTTCTCCAGGGCGATTAGGAACAGACAATAAATGCTGACCAGCCAGCAATGCCCATCTCCCATGGGTGAATTTTAAAAAAAAAAAAAAAAAACTTGTCTCAGGCCCAGTCTTCTCAGTTCAAACTGGATGTAAAACACAGTCTGACTGTGTGGTTTCTGTTCCCTATGAGTACCTTAATTTGGAGGTTAATAATCAATCCTGTCCCTTTACACAACAGAAAGTCTGTAACATAATCTGTTCTGTCTAGTGTGCTATGCAAAGAAACTATTTCCAAAAGCATTCTAAAAGAATAGCCTAATGCTGTTGATCTTATTTTTTCAGTGTATATGTACATTAATGTCTCCTTTGATTATTATTGCTCCTTTATCATAAGCATCCAATATTATTTCTTGTATACACTATGGTCACCAATGAGGGATCTTCAGACTACTTCAGTGACTTCTTTCCCATCACCTAGATTCTGCATCCTCATGGCTCGACACCATAAGATGAGTCTTTCTCACTCATCTTCAAGGTCATGGCTGATCTGATGACCCTCAACTCTTTTCCTGCCCTCTCCCTCTATTTCTTGGGGAGGCAATGGCCTAGTGGTATTATCGCAGGACTGTTAATCCAGAGACCCAAATAACATTCGGGGACCTGGGTTCAAATCCTGCCACGGCAGGTGGTAGAATTTTAATTCAATAAATATCTGGAATTGAAGAGTGTAATGATGACCGTGAATCCATTGTCGATTGTCAGAAAAACCCACCTGGTTCACTAATGTCGTTTAGGGAAGGAAACTGCCATCCTTACCTGGTCTAGCCTACATGTGACTCCAAACCCACAGCAATGTGGTTGACTCTTAACTGCTGTCTGGGCAATTAGGGACAGACAATAAATGCTGCCTAGCCAGTGATGTCCTCGTCCTGTTAATGAATAAAGAAAATGTTCCTGATTTAAAATCTATCTTGATCTTGAATATATTTGATAACCTAGCTTCAAGATCTTGTGGTAAAGAATTTCACTGACTAACTACCCTCAGAGAAGTTGTTCCTACTCCTGTCTTTTATATGGGAAATGCTTTGTTCTGAGAGAAAGCTCATGGTCCTAGACTCTCCTGCAAATACCCTGTCAAATCCCCTAAGAAAGAGTCTTGTATGTTTCAGTGAGGTTACCTCCCATTCTTGTAAACTCCCAATGAGCATAAGTCTGATCTACTTAACCTTTCCTTGTAAGAAAATTGCTCTGTACCCGGAATCAACCTTGTGCACCTTCTGGGCTTCTTCCAATGCCAGTATAGCTTTCCTTAGATAAGGGGACCAAAAAGTGTGGTCTAACTGGTGCCATGTATAATTTTGTCAAAACTTCACAATTTTGTCCTCCTGTTTTCTTTTCCATTTCCGACTATTGTGCAGATATCATTGATTAACAGTGCTAGTCCTCCAACGTTTCACCTAGCATCCTATTTTAATTCTATGTCATATACCCCTTAATGCTCGGGTTCCAATCTTTGTGTGGACATGTCCTTAGCCACTGTGTAATGATCCGCTTGTCTGTGTAAAGCATTATTTGCCACAAGGGCTCATTCTCTAACTACAGCTGGGTTTGCTTGCAATCTGTTTTTTGATCTAGGATCGTTTGTATCTGCTTGTATATTCACAAACGTGTGATTCGTTAAATTACCAAAAAGTTGCTGCTTGTGGCTGATTTTAGTAAGTTGTATAAAAGCTTTGGAAAATAATTTTAAAAATTTAATTTCATCGTTCTTGTTTCTCTTAGGTCATCTGTAAGTCAGATAGTCCTACTGGAGATGTTTTACTTGATGAAGCCTTGAAACATATTAAAGAAACTCAGCCTCCAGAAGCAGTGCAAAGCTGGATTGAACTTCTCAGTGGTAAATGAACAAAAGAACCCACAAGGGTGCAATTGAAAAGTGTTCTAATTCAAAACACAGTTGATAGACATGCAAAACAAAGGATAGAAGGTTAAACTTGAGCTGTGTTAACTAAATTTTTAAGAATGCAACTGTATGCTTTAAAAATGCAAATTTCCATTGAGGTATTCTACATTTAGCTACAACTTGAGACACTTTGGAGAAACTTTGATATCTCTGTCTCTGTGCAGTCTCCAGAAATGTTAAAGAGGAAATGAGGGAACCCGTGTTAAAACTGTACCCCTTGTTTTTGATGCCTTCATTAGAAATGTGAGAAAATGCTTTTTAAGTTCTTGAGTCTAAAACGTATCTGGCAAATAATATGACAACTATAATTAAAAACTGAGTATTAATTTTGCAGATGTAATAAGTTGGTTTTGTACTCAGGTTCAAGTCTTGAAGATCTTGCTTGATAGGACTTCTTGTTAAAACGTTTTTTTTTCTTGGGATATGACCCTTGCTGGCAAAACCTGAATGTATTGCCTATCCGCAATTGCGTTGGGAATGAGGTGAATAACTGCTGCCTTGAACAGCAGCGGTCTGTCTGATCGACTGTTTGTACTTGCTGGAATTTAGAAGAATGAGAAGGGATCTCAGAAACATATGAAACCGTGATGGGACTAGAAAGGCTAGATGCAGGAAGAATATTCCCAATGTTGTGGTTGGTTGGCTTACCGAGCTGGTTCATTGTTCCGCAGATGTTTCATTACCCTGCTGGGTAATGTCATCGGTGCAGCCTCTGATGAAGCGCTGTTTGTGTTTTCCCGCCTGTCATTTAAATTCTGGTGTCCATTGAGCTGGGTTACCTCACTTCCGGTTTTTCTTTGCAGTGGAGTGTATATGGGGTCTAGCTCTGTGTTTGTTGATGGTCTTAGTGGAGAACCAGGCCTCTAGGAATTCCCGTGCTTGTCTCTGCTTGGCCTGTCCCAGGATCCTGGTGTTGTCTCAGTCAAACTGCTGGCTTTCCTTATCCATGTGGATGGAGATGAGGTGAGTATTGGTTGTGTCTTTCTGTTGCTAGTTGTTGATCGTGTACTCTTGTGGCTAATTTACTTTCTGTCCGTCCAACGTAATGTTTGTTGCAGTCTTTGCAGGAGATCTTGGATATTATGTTGGTCCTGTCCATAGTGGGTAACAGGTCTTTGGTTCCAGTTAGTAGTTGGCGTAGGGTTGATGCCCAGTGGTTGTAGGAGTCTTGTGGTCAATTCAGATGTGTTCCTGATGTAAGGTAGCGTGATGAGTTTGTCGGGGCGTGCATTATCTTCCTGGTGTTGTTCGTGTAATAGATATATTCTGACTCAGTTTTTTGGGTATCTGTTGTCTTTGAATACTTGGAAGAGGTACTCTTCTTCATTTTGGCGTAGGTCTGTGTTGCTGCAGTGTGTTGTTGCCCGTTTAAATAGACTTTTCACCCAACTTTGTTTGTGGGTGTTCGGGTGGTTGCTTTTGAAGTTCAGTACTTGGTCAGTGTGTGTGGCTTTTTTGTGTACTTTTGCAGTCCTCCTGCTGTGGGTTGACCCACAATGATATTAGGGAGGGAATTCCAGCATTTTGACCCAGTGACAGAGCAGGAACGGCGATTATATTTCCAAGTCAGGATGGTGAGTGGCTTGGAGGGGAACTTGGAGGTGGTGGTTTTCCCATGTATCTGCTGCCCTTGTCCTTCTAGATGGAAGTGGACATGGATTTGGAAGGTGCTGTCTGATGATCTTTGAATTTCTGCAGTACGTCTTGTAGATAGAGTACACACTGCTGCTACTGAGTATCGGTGGTGGAGGGAGTGAATGCTTGTAGATGTAGAGCCAATCAAGCAGGCTGCTTTGTCCTGGATGGTGTCAAGCTTCTTGAGTGTTGTTGGAGCTGCACTCATCCAGGCACGTGGTGAGTATTCCATCACACTCCTGGTTTGTGCCTTGTAGATGGTGGACAGGCTTTGAGGAGTCAGGAGGTGAGTTACTTGCCGCAGTATTCCCAGCTTCTGGCCTGCTCTTGTAGCCATTCTGTTAATGTAGTGAGTCCAGTTGAGTTTCTGGTCAATGGTAACCCCCAGGATGTTGATAGTGGGGGATTCAGTGACGGTAACACCATTGAATGTCAAGGGGTGGTGGTTAGATTGTCTGTTATTGGTGATGGTCATAGCCTGGTGTTTGTGTAGCACGAATGGTCATAGCCTGGTGTTTGTGTAGCACGAATGTCACTTGCCACTTGTCAGCCCAAGCTTGGGTATTGTCCAGATCTTGTTGCATGTGAATATGGACTGCTTCAGTATCTGAGGAGTCACGAATGGTGCTGAACAATGCGCAGTCATCGGCGAACATCCCCACTTCTGACCTTATGATGGAGGGAAGGTCATTGATGAAGCAGCTGAAGACAGTTGGGCCTAGGACACTACCCCGAGGAACTCCTGCAGAGATATCCTGGAGCTGAGATGAATGACCTCCAACAACCATGACCATCTTCCTATGTGTCAGGTATGACTCCAACCGCTGGAGCGTTTGCCCCTGATACCCATTGATTCCAGCTTTGCCAGGGGTCCTCGATGCCACACTCGGTCGAATGCAGCCTTGATATCAAGGACTGTCAGTCTCACCTCACCTCTGGAATTCAGCTCTTTTGTCCATGTTTGAACATCCACATTTCTGTTGGAAACGGAGATCCAAGACTTTGAGTGGCAGCAGTGCAGGAGTAATGACATAGTTTCAAGTCAGGGTATTATGTGAATTGGACTTTTGGATGATGGTGTTTCCAAAAATCTGTTGTCCTTGTTCTTCTGGGTGGTAAAGGGTTTGAGTGCTTCAGTTGAATGAGCTTGGTGAGTTGCTGCAATGCATGTTGTACATAGTATGTGAAGCTGTAATCACCCCAGTAAGGGTAGAGTGGAGCATTCTGCTACAAACCTGTACCTTGTAAGTGGCAGACCGGTTTTAAAGGCAGTCAAGTCGAGTTGAGTTAACAAGGTGTAGAGCTGGATGAACGCAGCAGGCCAAGCAGCATCAGAGGGGCAGGAAGGCTGGCGTTTCGGGCCTAGGCCTTCCTACTATCTTGAGTTGAGTTGTTTGCCACAGGATGTAAGCTAATCATGGAAAGGTGTAAAAATATGTAAAAACAACAGCATTGTTGCAGTGACTGACTTTTAACTTCTCCAATATTGACTGGGACTCTCTTCATGCCAGGAGCTTAGTTGGGGTGCATCCAGGAGTGTTTCTTTAAATAATTGGACCATCCAACTAGGGAAGGGGTCATACTAGATTTTGCAGTGGGGAATGAACCTAGTCAGGTGATCACAGTTTCAGTGGGGGAGCATTTTGGAACAGAGATCATAATTCTGTCAGTTTTCAGGTAGTTATAGATAAGGGTAAGACCAGTTCTTGGGTGGAAGTGCTGAATTGGGGCAGGACTAATTACAGCAGTATTAGGCAGCAACTAGAGAAATTGTATTGGCAGCTGTTTGAGGGTAAATCTACATCTGACTTGTGGGAGTCTTTTAAAGGTCAGTTGCAGAGTCAGATGTATAGCCCTTCAGTCCAACTTGTCCATGCCGACCTGATATCCTAAATTAGTCTACTCCCATTTGCCAGCAATTGTCCTATATCCCTCTAAACCCTTCCTATTGATATACCCATCCACATGCTTTTTAAATATTCTAATTGTACCAGCCTCTACTTCATCTGGCAGATCGTTCCATACACGCGCACACTCTGCTTGAAAATATTGCCCCTTGCGTCTCTTTTAAATCTTTCCCCTCTCACCTTAAACCTACGCATTCTAGTTTTTGACTTCCCTATCCTGAGGGAAAAGACCTTGACTTTTCACCCTGTCCATGCCCCTCATGATTTCATAAGCCTCTGTAAGGTCACCCATCAATTTCCAATGCCCAGGAAAAATAGCCCCAAGCTTATTTGGCCTCTCCCTATAGCTCCAACCCTGGTAACGTCCTTGTAAACTTTTCTGAACCTTTTCAAGTTTCTCAACGCTTTTCCTATTGCAGGAAGACCAGAATTTAACGCAGTACTCCAAAAGTGGCCTAACAAATGTTGACCAGAGTTTAAGATCCTGTTCATGCTCCTTCTGTGGATAAAAGATGAGGATGGCAAGATTTGGGAACCTTCAACGCCAAGAGGTATTGAAAGCTTAGTCAAAAAGAAAAAGGAAACAGAGGTAATGTTTAGAAAATGGAAATCAGACCCATAAGTATAAAGAAAGCAGAAAAGAACTGAAACAAGAAACTGAGAGGGCTAGAAGGCCCCCCCCACCCCAGTCAGCCCACGTTCACTCTGCTTCGCACTCTGGGACTTGGCCTGCACTCGCTGTGCGCTCTGCTCCATGACTGAATTCCAGGACTAAGGACTCAGCCCTCACTCATTCTGCTCCCCGGTTTGGATCCCAGCCACAACTTGCTTGCGGGACTTGGCCCGCGCCCGCGCTCACTCTGCTGTCTGCTCCAGGACTTGGTTGCGCTAAATCATGTTGCAAGCTTAAAGCCTCTGGCTGTATTTGGAGTATTGTTTTGCAGTTCTGGCTTGCCACACTATTGGAAAAATGTGGAGGCTTAGGAGAGGGTAGAGATGAGGCTTACCTCGATGTTGACTGGATTGGAGTGTTGTATTGGCTTTAAGGAGAGGTTGGATCAACTTGGATTGTTTTCACTAGAGTGTTGGAGGCTGAGGGGCACGCTGTTAGAAGTATATAAAAATCGTGAGGCACGGATAGGTATGTAGTCGATTCTTTTTCCCAAGGTGGAAATAACAAATACTGGGGCGGGGGGAGCAGGTTTAAGGTGAGAGGGTACGTTTTAAGGAGATGTGCAAGTTTATTTTTAAACAGAGGGTGACAGGTGCCTGGAACACCATGCCAGGGGAGGTGGTAGAAGCAGAAACAGGAACCATGTTTAACAGGCACTTAGATGCACTAACAGGCAAGGAATGGATGGGAACAGACAGATGGGGTTAGTGTGACATTAC